CATCATTCATGGTCTGTGCTGCTGGGGAGATCTAAAGGGTAGGATTTTAAGTCAGCAATCTGCTGGGTTATTGAATTAGTTTTATGTTGTGTTAATTTCTTTGTCTCCTGGCATTCATTGCCTGTGATAATTGATGCACAATATATAACCGACTTCTGTATTCATTTGGGTAACTCCATTTAATTGCCTGGTATAAAATATGTGTACTAAGTACAATCTGCTGTGACTGAAGTGCTCATTGGTATGGACTGGAGGGTGCTTTATCTTCCTGACAACCTATCTGAGGAAAGTCTGTATGTCTCCCACGATCCACCATCCAAGGGCTGGTACTTGCATTGTGCCTGCAAAAAGGAAGATCACAAAAAGGGTAACGTGGCATCACTTTACTACTTGTTTGGCATGGAGCTTGTGTTCCTCAGAAGCTCTGCCATGAGGAAGTTTGCATTAACACCCCTGCCCCTCCTGAACCTCAGGCACAGCACTGCCTGGGAGACTTTACACATCTCCAACAAAAGAGGAGGATGGGTTGGTTTGCTGGTGAAGTTACTGCTCTGGAGCAAAGCTTCCCCCTGCACAAGTGTTTATAAACACAGATTTCTTTTGCCTGTCTTGGAGTCATTAATGCCTGGAGGAGCACTAATGAGTTACATATCAGGAAGGTGGGATGTTCATGACTGTAGATCAATGTCTGCCCAGGACACAGGATCACTGCAGGAGCTCACACCTCCTTGCCTGTTTAACTGCTATCACAGCCATTCCTTTTGCTTTTAAGAAAGCAAGAATCTTTTCTAGTAGATTTATTTCTCACTGAACAGAGAACTTTTCTCTTTATGTGACCTAGTGAGAGGGTTTATTTGTTTCCCTGACTAGTTTTGTTTCCAGTGTCATGAAGGGTATAACAGTGCAGTGTCTGAGCTATTTAAAGAAACATTGAAATTTGCCCAGAGCTGATTTGACTTTAAGCATTAATGAAACCTTCTCCATCCAAATTTTGAAAAGTTTTTAAATAAAAGCTAATGTTTGAGACTAAATCAGGTGTGAAATGCCTGTGAGATTATTTTAGCCATATTATGCTGCTCTGTGTTAATGGAACTGGTGAGCTGTCAGCAGAAGGGATGTTCACATTTAGTATTTTTCTTCTCAAGAGAGCCAGTTTCTACAGGCTCTGTCCTTCAGGATGTAGCATTAGTTCTGCTTACAGCCTGCTGCAAATTATTCAGTGCTCATAGGTGCCTTTCTGCTCGTTCTTCAGCTCTCTCCACTGACAGAGCAGCCTGCAGCCACTCGTGTCCTGCAGCCACTCGTGGCTGGGTAGGACTAGTTCCTGCTCAGGCTCCTCACGTGCTCTGTTGAGGTTCCCCCTGGGTCAGCCTGCACTGCACCCAGCTCCTGCTGCTGAGCAGTAGACCTGATGGCCAGGGGGTGAGCAAAGCTGCCTGGGCTGTGGCAGTGTGCTCTGAGCAGAGGCTTCCCTGGCACACTGGGCAGAGCTGGTGGCATTGTACAAGAGGATTTTGACCAGTTAACTCACTGGTTCCACTTTATGTCATATTCATGATGTTATATTCTTCCTCCTCTGCAAGGATATTAACAAATACTTGTGCTAGCTCATGGAATATACCAAATCTTGGAATACGTGGACAACCTAGTAGAAGGCAAATGCCCAAAAAGTCACTTACTAACTACCAGGAGGCTGGGGTGCATTTGTCCAGCTCACTGTCTGGTGCCTTAAGGAGCAGTTCCCATCTCTGGCAGAGCTGGCACAACGGCAGTGTTGGATGTGGGGGAATGAGAGAGCAGGGGGCTCAGCAGCAGACCTCATCATGTCACCCAGCCCACACCTCACACAGCAGTCAGACAAGGAGGGGGAGGGTGGCAGGGGGGGTCTGACACCCATTTTCCACCCCTTATCCCCACGAGCCATACCTCTGTGAGGTGCCTGTGTCCCAAAGCTGTGGAGCAGCACCTCCTTCCCCCCAGCAGCCAAGCAGCTGGCACACAGCAAGCTATGAAGAGGGATTTCATTGCTGTTGGCTTTCAGATGTGCCTTCCTGCCTCAAGGCAACAGATTCCTGGTCAGAGGAAGAAGTGAAGCATCTTCTCTGGGCTATTCAGCCCATATGTAAATCAGGATTGATTTGGGAATGATTCATAAAGAGCCAGGGAGGCTGTACTGTGTGAGAAATAATTTATTGACAAGGAATAATTCAGCCAGCTCTAACCTTGGAATGGATGTTTGTGGTCAGAAGTTTATAGCCCGAGTGGAAAGAGCTGAGTACAAGTTTAAGAAGCTGAACAGGAGACACCTAGTTTTTAAATCTTGACATAAATCTTGAGTGTTTTGCCTTATGTTAGGCACATTCCCTGCAGAGGACTCCTGTTCAAGTTTTGTTTGGTGTTTATAGATGTTATTTAAAAGGTAATTTTATAAAATTATTTTGTGTTATGTATAAGGAACACTGGAGGTCAAATGAGAACTGGAATTGCAGATTAAAATATTAAGAGTTGATAAGTACTGGCTTTTAAATGGACCCACTGTAGTTCTGAACAAAATGGTGTTTAACCTAGTGTAGTGGTTACTGGAAAATGACAGCCTACTAAAAAATGTGCAGCATTGTCAGCTCCTGACTCTTTCTCCACCTTTACTGCTCTTGATTTGTTCCTACAGAGTGACAGGGAACTAGAATATAAAACTTTCTAGCTTGTACTTTATGCACATTGCATGAAAAAAAGAAAAGTGTGGGAAGTACTAAGCTAAAATATCTTGTATTCATCTTTATTGTGTCTTTTCTAAACATGAATTCTTAGGGTTTGTGTTGGGAACCTCTCAGTTAAGGTCTTTCAAGCACTTGTTTAAAGACAGCAGATACCTGGGGGCTGAGCAAGCCCCTGAGACACCAGCACAGCACAAACCACCTCCCCAGGCACTTGGTCAGTGTTGGCCACTAGTACCAAGCACTACAGGTCAGACCCCTTAGGCTCCTGGCCAGCCAAAAAAATAGCACAGCAGTGTAAAATCCGTGGTCTGGTACCTGAGGAAGGCAATGCCACCTGGGCTGGAGCAGAAGCTCCACCTTTGCTTCCAGCTCCCTACCCCTCCTGAGGCAGACACAGCACCAGTGGGCAGCAGGATCAGCCTCAGCTTTGTTGGGCCTGCTCCCTTTGCCATGTCCCTGCACAGTCCATTCATTAGGCCATTGGGAGGTAATTCAGAACAAGAGACCATTTCCTTGAAACTTGCAACATTTGTTAATTGTTAACAGGTAAAAAAAAATAAAATCCTATTCATCCCTTACCATGTTCCTTCAGCTGGTGCCTTCATGAGGAGGAGGCTGCCTGGCTCCTGATAAGAGCTAATTTGTGAAAGGCTTTTCAGCAGTCTGGCAGGTTCCTACCTGGCACTGTTGGTGGCTGGATGTGCCTGAGGGTGGATGCTCCCTGGAACACCTCTGCAGCAGCCACTGAGTGTGCCCAGGGAAGCTGTGGCTGGAGATCTGCTGGGCGTGGGCAGGAGCTCCGAGGGGATCCCCAGATTGCTCTGATGTTTGGCAGCTATGTTCTGATTGTGGCATCTGATGACTGATTTTGGTCTTTTCTCTTTCAGAGCCCAATGAGCTGTGTGTGGGCCCTGCATCTGGTGATGTCCCATCTCAAGATGCTGCTAATGGAGTAGTTAATTATTCCTGGCTGAAGAAGTCTTAACAGGAGCAAAAGGATCTGGGGCAGAGCAATGGCAGCTGGTAAATATCTCAGGTCTGCAAAGGCTGTAAGAAAATAACTGCAAAGAGCTGGTTTGGGCTGTGACTGGGGAGGGGGGACACGAAATTGTGTCATCACAGGTTGGATTTGGGAGTTCAGTATCAGAAAGGTACCAGCCCCCAGCTATCTGACCCACTCTGCCTTCCCCAGCCCAGGGAGTCCTGCCTGTGCTCAGTCTGTTTTGACCCTATGCATGATAATTCTCTTTTGGTTTTAGAACAAAATTTGGTATTTCCAATAGTGAATTAATTCAGTTTAACCTCTTTTTATTTAGTGGCTAATGTCTGTTTAAATCTTCTACTACAAAAAAAAAATGCACCTTATGGAATAACAGGTCTCTGCTCGAGGTGTGTTTGGTTCTCTTCTCACAGCTTTCTGCCAAGTTGCCACAGACCATATATAATGAAATTATGAAATTATATCAGGGGATTGCAGGGTAAGTCATCCAGGTTGGGAGGGGCCTTAGAAGGTCTCAAACCCAGCATCCCACTCAAAGCAAGGCCAGCTGTAGGGTCAGACCAGTTACTCAGGGCTTTAGGTGGTGCTTGAACGTCGCCGAGGATGGTGACTGCACAGCTTGGCTGCCCTCATGGTGAGAAGTTTTCCAGCCTGGGTCACTCTTGTTTCCTCCTGTGTCTGTTGAATGCCTGCCATGTCTTTCTCTTCTGCCATACAATACCAAGCACTAACAAGGGTCTGAAAGGTGAATTGTTATTAAGAAACAAAGTAAACCCCAAACAAGCAGTGTCAGTGGTGTCCCATTTTCACTGAAGGTTTGGGTTAAAATCCTGGCTGGGGTTTTTTCTCCTCACAGTACATGTCTTCCCTTGCAGCAGCTGATGGTTTGGGCAGCATAGCTATAGACACCACCCAGCTTAACATGTCAGTCACCGACCCAACGGCCTGGGCCACAGCTATGAATAACCTGGGCATGGTTCCAGTAGGACTGGCTGGCCAACAGCTTGTCACAGGTAAGATTTCTAAAGAGATCTCTTGTACTGTCCATGAATTCTTAAAGATGTGGAGTGTTTTCTGAGGATGTTATATTTTTATGTTCTGAAAACCTCAGCCATGATGTACACTGTACCCTGTGCACCAGTCTGGGCTTGCAGTAGGTGTGTAATCCATGTTACTTGTGGAAAAGCCAAAACTCTTTGGGGAAATTAAACAGCTAAACCATTGATTCTTATTCCGGGTCAAGACTCAGAGGCAGGTCACATAAAGAAACATTTGTTTCTGTTTCTCTGCTGAAGTAGAGTGTTTTAAAGTCTTGCCAAGGAATACCCTAAGCTGGGAACTCTTGACCAGAGAAAGATTTTGAAGTTATGTTAATTGGGCAGAAAAGCATGAAGCCTGTTCAGCTCTTGTGCTCAGCTGAGAGCAGTGAAGGGAAGCTTTCCCATCAGGGGGGTGGTTATTTGCTTTCTGCCTGACTCCAGAAATTGAATTTTGAGAGGTTGCTCTTGTTTGATTTTGTCATTTCACTTCTCAAACATAGCTTGGGAGAGCATTGCAAGGGGCTGTTTATTCAAACAACAATAAAAATGATATTTTGAAACAAGCAATGTTTCAGGCAAACCTGGACATACTTCATTGTCAACAGCAGAGGCCCAGTTACCTGGGATTAACAAAACTTCACTGCTGCTGTGAGGTAGAGAAGAACCACCTGTATATGGGTGAGTGCCCTGTAGACACCAGCCACATGCCAGGCTCATGCCAGAGCCCCTCTGGAAGCTTCAGGAGAGCTGTGCAGCATCTGGGGCAGAGCAGCATCCTGCCACATCCATGCCTGTCCACGTAGACACGGGTGCAGTGAGCCAGGTCGTGGTGTAAATCACTCTGCCTGCCCCACCAGGGATGCATGATGATTGATTTTGGCCAAAAACGTCCCCTTGTGAGACTGGGAGCTGGGTGGAGCTGGGCCAGTTCCCAGCTGACCCTCTGGCTCAGAGTTACCTGTTCTACAGGTGGATAAACTAAGCTGCAGGAAATCTGGTTTAGCATGAATCAGTCTCAAGCAGAGAGTTTAGCTGGTGGGGGCCTTGCACTGATTCTTGGTCTCTGGCTTTCACCCCATGCTACCAATTAAAAGGAACAAGCAAAGCCATCCACTCCTGGGGAGTCAGCTCTCCTCACTGGTTTGATCAGTGACCTGGATGCAGGAGTGGAGTCCACACCAAGTTTGCTGGTGTTAAATTAGGAGGAGCTGTGGATTCCTTTGAGGGTAGAGAGTCCTAACAGAGAGATCTGAATAGATTAGAGCCCTGGGCAATCACCAGCCATATCACATTGAACAAGGACAAATGCTGGATTTTGAGCCTGGGGTGATGTAATCCTGTGGATGGTCAAGAAACTGGAGGACAGAAGGCTGGAGTGCAGCCCTGCAGAAAGGATCTAGGGTTTGTGGTTGATGGGAAGCTCAGTGAGAGTCAATGATGTGTCCTGGTGGGTCAGTCTGGAGTGCATGAAGTGCAGTGCAGCTGATGGGTCAAAAGAAGTGGTTGTCCTGCACTGCTCAGCGTTGGGGCAGCCTCACCTTGACTGCTGGGTGTATTTTTGGGGTCCACAACATGAGAAGGATGTGAAAATATTAGAATAGAGAATTATGAAAATATTAGAGTGTGTCCAAAGGGAGGCAGGAATGGTCGTGAAGGGACTGGAGGAAAGGCTTGAGAAGAGCAGCTGAGGGTGTGCTCAGCTCAGAGAAGAGACCTCCCTGCTGTCTGCAGCTTCCTGGTGAGGGGGTGGAGAGCACAGTGCTGATCTCCTCTCTGGTGTCCAGTTGTAGGACAGAAGGAAGTGGCTTTAGAGCTGTATCATGGGATGTTCATTTGGTCTTTAGGAAAACAGTTCTCTGCTGTGAGGTGCTCAGGCACTCAGACAGGCTCCTTAGGAAGTGATCATGGCCCAGGGCCTGCTGGTGTTCCAGAAGCATGTGGATGATGCTCTTCAACATCTGATTTTACTTGTCCTGCATGGAGTGAGGAGTTGGACTGGGTGGGTGCCCTGGGTCCCTGCCCACTCAGGATGGTACAAGATGCTGTGTGCTGGTGGAGAAACAGCTTTTTGTGTTTCCTGGGGGGGCTCTGCCTGCAGGTGCTGTGCTCAACTTCAGTGGGATTCCCTCCAAACCTGAAAAGAGCCACATGTCAGAGTCAGCTTCTGCTGCTTTCATTTGTAATCATCTCAGTTACACATCCCCTGGAGGTTTGCCCACCTCTTTGTCATCCCCTCTTGCTGTCTCTCCAGTTTTTGTGTAGGTGGTGGCCTCAGGTGTGCTGTGCAGTCCCTACACAGCAGCCTCATCCCCACAAGGGAGCATCTCCAGGGCTTTATTTCATTGCCAGCTCCCTGCTAGAGTTTCCAGAATGATTGTGTCTCAGGTATTGTAGGAGCACTGTACGGGTCAGCTGATATTTGTTCAGCATTTCCAGTGTATGAAAGGTGCCATAAGTAATAAATATTAATTACTGAAGTGCTGCTGGATTTCTCTGCGGGTGCAGAATCTCTTCTTGTCTTTCCTTTTGCTTCCCTTTCTTTGAGACTCACCTGTATTTTCAAGTTTAATAAGGGCTTTGAAAATTGATTATATTTCCTTAGGATTCATAAGTTTTTGCCACATTTTCTTCATGGCAAAACCACACGAAAAGACTCACAGACTGATTTGCAATAATATGTTTACTGTATCTGCATTCAATGAGAGTTTGTATCACCCTGCTCAGCCCAATGTCTAAGTAGCCTTCAGCCCTTGCTGACTTTTTGCCTTTTTTTTTGCTATTAATCCTAGTAATGAATCCATCTTTGTCAGCAGCACGTGCTGCGTTTGCTGCTGTCATCTGTGACATTTCTCAGAGATGAAAATGAGACACCCATGTCCCAGTGCTGGCTTTGTCTATCTTTCAAATTTCATTTTATTCTTTTTTTCCCACCTTTTCAACAGCTAAGAAGGCAGTAAGTGGTTTAAATTGACAGTTTGGTTTAGAAACTCTTGGAAAGAGGGTGATCTTTCCTGGATATCTTCACATAACCTGCCACAGTCTGAAATGTGGTGTATGGTAGTCACCTCTATCCTCATGTGTCTCTTCATTCTCTCACCTTTCAGTTTCCAAAGGACTTACCCATTCACAGTCTTTCCTTCCCCAAACCAACAGTTCCTACTGCCTAAACCACGGGGTTTTGTTCCCTCAGGTATGGAGCCTGTGTGTTCTACCAAGTCTCTTTAAAGGTTTTTGATGGTTGTTTTTTTCTGAACTGTTAACTTTGCTGCTGGGAACCATGCTGGGTTGCCTGCCTTGTAACAGGGTTATGCTCCCCACTTTGCAATCTGTGAAGCTCTTGCCTAGCCTGAGAGTTTGTTAGAATGGCAGCTAAAGCTCCTGCAACATCTGGCCAATATTCCTCCCACAGCCTGTGATGTAGGCTCTCTGGTCTTGGTAACTAATCAATTTTAAGCACTGCTAACCTTTTAATACCAGTTTAGATGATATCTGCACTCTATTTAATTCCTTATCTCCCAGTGCTGTAAAATTGGATTTTTGATCTGGGCAAATGTCAGAGCCTTTCCTTTGTAAGGATGGATTCTTGTTAATAGCTGGATAATAACTCCTCTGTTTCCACATACATTTTGCTTATGCTTATTGTAGCTCAGAATGCTCACCTTTTCCCATAATATTTGGCTACTGTGTTACCTCTACACTTATATATGCATTCATACATTATATCTATACATAATTAATACAACAAACTGGAGTTTAATAATGCATTGGTTAAAGCATTAAAGATCAATGTGGAATAGTGATGGCTGAAAAGCATGTTCACTCTAAACCTCCCCTTTCTGCAGGGTATATTTTTCCCCAAAAATACCCTTTTGGACTGAAATTTCTAACAGTTGGTCTGAGCCCAGAGGAAAACAGAAATCTGGAAAGGTTGGAAAAAAAATCTGCTAAATTGTTCTTGAATTATACAGGCCTGAAAATTGCTGTTTTCTCTGCTTTGAGATTTTGGGAAGAATGAGCAGGTGAGAGAGGAGGGATAGTCTGTACCCCTTCTGAGAGCTGAGCCCTCTTGTGCACTTGGCATATACTCAACACTGCTGGTTTGCTGCGTTTTTGGACTAGCAGGAAAACTCAGTGACCTCGGGCCAACTGAGAATGTTTTATTTTGCTTTTGCATTGTACTTTTTAAAGGAAATTTTGTCATTGCTGAATTTCGTGTTCTTAGGCTTTGATTTGTTTCAGCAAATGGCATCAGGTCACCTGTTCTCTGAAGGAAGACGTCTTGCCACAAAAACTATTTACTTCTGAGGTTCAGTTTGGTTCTCTTTTCACTAAAGAACCATTGCCCTGAAAAACATGAAGCAATCTTGAGATGCTTTCCTCTGAAATGACTCAGGTGACCTGAACATTTGTGAGACAAAAATGGGGCATGTCAAAAAGCTCCCTGCTACAAATGTACAGTGGTACATAAGGAGGAATTCTTTTAGACTGGGTTCAGCTCATGCCCTGTGACAAAATTTGTGCTCTTGCAGTGAAAAATAAGAAACCACAAGGGAAGACTCTAAAATGGAAGTGATAGATGTGTCTAGAAGTCAAGGGGATGCCTGAAAACTGATGCCTGCTACCTACTTAGAGCATAACTGAGGCACACTTTTCCATGAGGGTCTGGCCAATATGGCTTAGGCTCAAGTTATTAAAATTTTGAGTGGCCTCCAGTCTTGTTTTTGCTAAAGTTAGACTTTGACCAGTTGTAAGAAATGCTGGTAAAATCAGAGACTAGGGAGCTTTGAAGCCTAACATCTTGCTTACCAAAAGGTACAGAAAAAGCACACACCATTTCTGTGGCCTCAGGCATGTATTTTTTAGATACTGGAGGTTGTGAAATATTAGACACTTACATCAACCTCTCTGGTTTTCCATTTGTCTTTGCTTTCCCCACACACTTGTCTTTTGACCTGATTTCAGTGGAACATAGG